TGGGGCGCGCAGGTGCGGCTAGGAGTCCCCCGGAGAAGTTCCTCCGGCGCCAGGGCGAGGGCGGAACGGCGGCAAAGCCCGACCTGGGGCGGGCCCTGGGCTTGGAAACCGTCCGCCCTTCACCGCCGCCCCACCCCGCCTGTGTGACCCTCCCCCCTCCACCTCTCCACCCGCTCCGCTGGCACTGCCGCGTCCCGCTTGCCCCTCGCCCGTGGGTCCCTAGCGGCCGCTCCCAGTTCAGGGAGCTGCGGAAGGTCCCGGGGCTGGGGGCACCCGAGCGGAGGTGGGGAGAGAGGAATTGACCGCACACCTTCAGCCGCAAGGGAGAGGGCTCTGCAGGGGACGACGTAGTTGTCCTCGCGGAAGAAATTGGTCACATGTTTTGCTTTTCAAAGTTTGGAGCATATCTGAGGCAAACTATGTATGCTCAATTGCTAAATCTGTGTCATGCTCATATGCTCAGCCAGTCTTATTCTAATGTTTTTACGTTCCTACTGAATATTTTTTTTAGGATAACTAAATATTTCTCCACTACTGTTTTGTTCTCTTTTTTTCCTATGGAAAGTACTAATTCTGGTTCCAGTCTTACTAAAATTAACATACCTGTGCACCTTCCATAAGCCTTAAAACGGACTGGCCGGTTTCCTCAGTTGATTACAGCGAAGCCTTATAACGCAAACGTTAAAACCCATGATTTAAATTTTTTGAAATTTTCCTGGTCCTGAAAGGAGTCAGAATCTTTATTCATAAATTCATAGAAACAGAGAAGGAAAAAGATACTTAGAATCCTGTAGATTACAGGTGGAACACACAGCCAATTGCCTCTGCTATGGAACTAGGCTATATTTTAGCCTACAATTTTGACTATATTCCTTTTAAAATAATATTTTCATCTCTAAATTTACTAATGTTTCCCTCTTTTCTGTAAACTAAAGAATAATTCAGTCACTAATTTGAAGCCCAGGACTTGTAAAAAATCTTGACAAAATGCCGCAGTTTGTTTTCTTGCCAAGGCAGGACACAGAATTTGATCTTTTGTTTACAGGGCCGGCCGGGCAACACTTGCAGGTATTGTTTGCTTACTCTTTCAGAGAATATGGCAAAGTGTGATTAACATGCTGTGCTAGAAAGGGCTTTGCTTGGTTATGTTTGTTTCCGGCTTTAGGTCTGCAGGAAGATGTTTTAAATGAATGGTAAATGTTCAGGCACATTACAAATGCCTCAGGACTTCTTGGGATAACTTCAGATGAGATGTCAGGATCTGTAAAGCTGTTCTTAACTCGTGATCCTTCTGGAATGCTGCAGAAAAGGTGAACCTGCTGTTTAAAGAGAGGCTGCAGCAGCAAGCCAGGGGAATGGTGCTACCTTCCCGCCACAGATTAGACAGACGTTCACAAGCCTACCCCCCAACCCCAAATAATAATATTTCTATGTTCATAGGGAGAAACCTGAGTGGGAATACAGCATGCTTATTAAAGGGAGCGTTGGAGATAAGGAAATGGCAGAAAGGAACTAATACTAAGTCAATTTAAAGAATATTCAATAATCCAGTGAGTTACAAGTCTGAGTGGCCAAACTCATTATTAAAACTGCTTTGTTCCTAAGGGAATTGGTATTCTTTCTGTCAGGCTTTTCATATAGTAGTTAGTTAAATGCATTTAAAAACATTGTGTGCATTGTATAAGAAAGGGAAAATAATAGCCTACAAATGGAATGTGTTTAATTATTAAAGATCCGCTTGTTTCTAATAGTCTTCCATTCCCTATAATTATTTTGGTTAAGTTGCTACAATCTATGGTTTCAAAAGTCAGGCATTCTCTAAAATCATATGTTTTTCCTCTGTCGTTTAATCTTATTTCACCCAAGTGAAGTGCTTCAAAACTTTTTCATGACTTTACTTGCTAAAAACTGTACATTTCAGAATCATTTTACTTATACTAAAATTTCTTTTTCTGACTGTTTTTTACAAACTAGATTTATCTTGGCACTTCTTTAATGTATCAAAGCACATCTTAACTTTCAAGCCTATTGGGTTTATAATGAGGTCACAGTTTACAGTTTTATGGACATGCTTTTCACAGTTTGACACACTGAAATATAAGAAGGTCAAATGACTTGCCCAAGATCTCACCATGAGTCAGTGATGGGGCATAAAATAGAGCTTGAGCCTTTGCTCAGGGGCTCTAATATTAGATTATATGTTAGTGAAATCAGTATCTAAAATTTCTAAAGGTACAATGTTAAGGATTTGTTGATTTCATAAAGCAGATTCTTCTATTTAGATAGTTGTTGGATTTTCATTATCAAATACACTACTCTAGGGCCGGCCCGGTGGCGCACTGCTACAGTGTGCCGCATGGGAGCGCAGCAGCGCTACCGCCGACGGTTCGGATCCCACATACAGACCGGTTCCCGCTCACTGGCTGAGCGAAGTGCGGGTGCAGCACCGAGGTTGCGATCCCGTTGCCGGTCCTGGTCCGGTGCGGGCGCGACACTGAGGGTTGCGATCCGTTGCCGGACACGAAAAAAGACAAAAAAAAAAT